AAAAGCTCACCGGAAGCGCTGGCGCCGCCATCTTTTTTTGATGAAAAAGTGCTTCCGGTGAGCTTTCTACCCGGAAAAGCTCACCGGAAGCACTTTTTCATCAAAAAAAGATGGCGGCGCCCAGCAAACCAGCGGCCCGGTAGGACTTGTTCCACGGACCGGGACCGGTCCGCGGACCGGTGGTTGGGGACCCCTGCTATAGAATCTAGCACAGAAGCATCCCAAAGCATATTCAATAGAAGCATTTGAGCCTCCATCATCAAAGGAAAATGCTGCCACTGCCAATAGTATAGAACTGGAAGGAGGAAAAGGAAGTCAGTAGTCTTTAATGACTCTTTATTGTCGGGGTACTTCATGAAAATAACAGATTGTGCAGAACATGCTGCTTTAGGCAAAGGAACCATTTAGACATTCCTCTCTTCCCAAAAGCCCCAGTGTGCATGTACAGAGCCACGATAGTATGTTTCTTTGGCAAACCCATCAAAAGTGATATCTACACATACACACTCATGGAGATAAACTAGAGAAGCCTTCAAACATACCGCAAAATGGGAAATGAATTATTTGCTCATATCCAAGCTTTGCCCTTTGGAATACTGTGCGCAGCTCATTGCATACATTGAAGGTAAGCAGCCATGAGAATCAAATCACTTCTTTTGAATTTGAAGGCTGTAGCAAGGTTTATGTATCAGGCATTCTATACCTGGCAGGGTCCTTTCTTCTCCATATTTATTATATATTTTTATTTCTATAGATTTTTTATTTTAAATTTAATTTTACTGGATCATTTTCTTTCTTTAAAGGAGTGTTGGCAATAGTAAAATTATCCAAAGCATATTTTTCATTCATAAAAAGAGCCACAGGAGTAAGACTGGTTTTTCCCCCAGTATTATATCACCCTCTATTGATGAGGAGAAAGCACAGCAGACTTTTCTTATTTAATAGACAGAAAAATCTGAAATATCACCCATTTTATACATGCATTTATTCATTAAATTTATATCGCCAGCCATATCACATAAAAAGAAACTCCTTTCCATAAAGATTTTGTATCATTGTAGGAATTCAACATCAAGGAGATTAATTCCACATTTGTGGGGAAATAGAACAGAAAAAAATCCAACAAATTGGACTTACATCGTATGATCGAGGTGACCCTTTAGCCCAATTTGTAAAATAGACTCCACTCCCATCAGTCCAGAGGAAATATCCCCTCCAATTCACGTCAGTCAATCCAGTCCAAGTATTACCACTAGCACTTTTCAACTGCATTGTGAGAAAAGCTGAGGGGAGGTGAATACAGATATATTTTACAACAAAGTATTGTCAGGCTCATCACCAATTAAATTTTGTTCCAACTTTCCAGAAGTTCATTTTGGCTATGTTAGATTTTAAAAAGTACCTCAGAAGGGGGCGTGCATAAGCGCACCAACGTGCCTACCGTCCCTGTCCTATTGTTTCTCGTATTCTTTTATTTTTCATATATGTACCCATTTCATGTATTCACAACTATGTATACTCTTATACTTATTATCTTGTAAACAATTGGCAAATCAAATAAATAAATAAAATACCAGACCAAACTCTGCTCACATACAATATTTATGACAGCCATTTCTATGTTCCCATCTTAAGAACATCCCAGGTGATCATCTATAAAGCCTTTCATGGCATAGGGCTTGGCTATCGGAGGAACCCCCTATATTCAATTGTTTCTGCCTGCCAAGTATATTCTGGCAGGAAGATTCCTTTCTTTTGGATATTAGAAGGTACCAATACCATTGACAGAACAGAACAGAATAAAAGGAGGATGGCAGAAGAAATTACACACAATTTAAACTGTTGCCATAAATTGAGTTATACAGATTGTAGCTTCTATCTTATGTTCCTGATATTTTAATAGCAAAAAACCATGCCCGTTCCTGTTGGTTGTCAGTATTTGGAGTAATGTTGCTCATTTGTTGATTAGCTATGGGATAAGTAATTTGTTTTTTCTGATTAGTTGGCAGGTCACTGGATATCTTTAGAAGAGTTACTAACTTTATTGCAATTGCTGTTGCCATCAGATGCCCAATTTTTAATACACTTGGCACGTTAGCTATGTTACTCATGTTATGGTTGCCCACTCCAGCAGACTCTGGATGGCTTGGCAAATCCACCCCAAAAATAAAAACAGCACAGCACAGCACATGAAATAGCACAGACATATCCACCCAAAACAACGAACAACATCAATAATATGAAACATAACACCTGCCCCACGAATTCATTAACCCAAGGCTTGGGATCAGAACTAAGTCTGAAGGGCTCTGACCTGAGTGTTGTCAGTAGCTCTGGCACGCTGCTGCTCCAGAGCAGGTAGGGAGAGGGAGGGGCTGCAATACAGAGAGAAAACTTCTTCAATCCTACTGGATGACAACATTTAATAGTAGGAACCTGGACTGAATCCTCCCAACAGAATGTACTTGCAAATAGAAACCATTGGATTCAGGCAATTCCACAGATAGCCAAGCATAATGCCATGATGGGCTTTATAGATCACCAAGCACTTAAACCACACCTGGAAGCGGACTGGCAACCTATTCAAAAATGTCTTTGACCAAGTGGGACCAAATAGCTAAACAGTCATAACTACTTAGTCATATCAGGATTGAACTGAAATCTGTTTTGCCCCACCCAGGCTCAACAGATACTGGTCAACAGCTTTTCCTACCTAAGGCAAGGTTGAACTATAAAACTGGCTATCAAAATGTACTGATACTGAACCCTGAACCAACGAATGAGCTCACTGCATCATATAATCCATATGTTTTATATAATTTTCAGTTTTTACTTTTCAGATAACTACAGACCTCTTAGGAAAGGGGTGAGATCAATAGTAGACAGTCTAAGGTTAAAGTTTTGGGGGTTTGGGGAAGAAACCACAGAGTCAGGTAGAGTATTCCAGACATTGACTACTCTATTGCTGAAGTCGTATTTCCTGCAATCAAGTTTGGTGCGGTTTACCTTGAGTTCGTATCTATTGTGTGCTCTTGTATTGTTATGGTTGAAGCTGAAGTATTCATTGACAGGTAGGACATTGCAATATATAATTTTATGTACTAAACTTAGATCAGACTGAAGGCGGCGTAGTTCTAGGTTTTCTAGGTCTAGAATTTCAAGTCTGGTAGTCTAAGGTATTCTGCAATGAGTAGAGGAGTGGAGAACTCTTCTTGTGAAATATTTCTGGACTTTCTCAACTGTATTAATATAGATACGTAATGCGGGTTCCAGACTGATGAGCTGTATTCAAGTATTGGTCTTGCAAATGTTTTGTATGCTGTAGTTAGTAGTGTGATATTACCAAAGAAAAAGCTACGTAGGATTAGGTTAACAACTCTTAATGCCTTTTTGGCTATGTAGTTACAGTGGGCTCTAGCACTTAGATCATTAGAGATGAGTACTCCAAGGTCCTTGACAGAGTTTGGATCATCAACAAGGTCTTGACTATTCAGCTTGCATTTTATTTTCTGATTTTTTTTGCCAATATGAAAGACAGAGCATTTATTTGTTGAGATTTGAGGTTGCCATTTGTTTGACCATTCTGATACATAGTCGAGGTCTTTTTGAAGGGTAGCAGTATTGTCAGTGGTTTAAAGAAATGATTGTACCTTGAACAGCTTTGTTTGGTATACTAGCCAGATTTCCTCCTAGGTTTCTGCAGTGATCACGTGCAGCGCTCCAGTTTTTCTTCTCCTCTTCTCTGAAGCCAAAGACTTGGAAGCACTAGAAGAATAAAAATCCCTCCAAAAATCCATTAATCAAGAAAGAGTTAATTAAATAAAAAGTAATAGAAATGATCAACATAGAATCATCAATCATGAAATGAAATAGGAATATTTAACGTAATTTAGAATGTAATTCAGTCGTAATGAAATAGTAGTAATAAAATCGAATTCACCACTTTCTTTTGGGAAAAAATATAAGCAGTAATAAAGTTAATCTTTTTATGATTTAACTGTGTACAAACTTACTGTCTGCTTTTTGTGATATAATTGACTTCTTAGTAATTTTGTATTGATGATCTTTATACAGCCAGTTTATCACTGCCATCCTACTTCTGGAAGCACCCAGGAGAGAGGGACTAATGAAAAAAAGAAAGTGCCTATATCTTTCAAAATCTTGCTGGTCTTGGTTTTACCATTAAAGGAAGAAAGATGATGTTGCTTATAAATATGTCTATAGTCACTTAGTAAGTATTCATAGTTATGAGTTTTGATGATTCCTCCCTCCCATAGTTATATGATCACATTTTCAGCATTTGGCAATGAGCCAACACTTATAGACACTTGCTTTGTTCTGCAGTCATATGACTATGATTTATTCCGTTTTTTGTTGAAAACTGATGTTTACGTCCATTTTTTGGCAAAAAAATGCCCATGAAGATATCTCTTGCTGAACTCCTTGTGTTCATTGAGAGGTATAAAAAAAGATCACTGGCTACCTATAGCAATCTCAATGTATTTATAATTGCCTTTAGGATGTTTGAACAGTGATGCTACCCCAAAATATTTACACTAACTATATATATATATATATATAT